GGCAGCGCAGTGACCGGGCACCACCGACCCGCCGCCCACGGCTGCGCCGCGCCAGGCACGCGGGGCTCAGAGGGGCCCCAGTGCCAACAGCGCCAGGCAGGAGGCAGGACCCTAGTCCCTGGGGTTTCCTGCTTTGAGCTCCTCTAGTTTTCTCATGTTGTGCTTTAATGATTTTATTGCGGTTCCGGGACAGTCTTCACGCATTGATTCTGGCACACACACCACCTGTGAGCTGACTGTTCCAACCAGACACTCAGGCTGGTGCTGGTTGTGAGCCCGGTTTTCTTGGGGACTCTGACCACGCGGCCATGGTGCCCAGGGCGCAGAGCTTTGCCCTTGCTTGGAAATCAGTGTGTGCACCCAGGGACAACAGAAAACCAGCTCCCAGCCAGGCTCCCACGCGCTCCCCAGTACAGGGCAGGGTACTCACATCCAGGGCTGGTTCTGGGGCCTCCCCTGCCCCAGACATGGGGGGCCCCATTACACCTGTGGCAGCGTGGAAGGCCAGCTCCCCAACGGGGCCTGAGCTCACTGGGCCCAGGGGCTGCCCGGTCGCAGGGGGAGGGTTAGAGTGGTGCAGCTGGGGGCCTGGGGGGCCTCCAAGGTTGGAGGTGTGCAGTCCAGGTGGCCCAGGGTTGTGAGCTGGGTCCAGGTGACCTGCAGGTGCCATCTGAGGAAGGAGAGAAGGATCTGGTAAAACAGCCAGGGTTCCCTTGAGAGACAGCCCCTGGGTCCCTCAGCCTGGCACTGACCTGGCCTGGGAGGCTGGGCGTAGACTTCTCTGGTGTCAGGAGGCTGCTGGGAATGTCAGACTGGTAGGAGATGGGGGGCGGCCCCGTGGTGAACTCAGGAAGCGTTGGTGTGCTGGGTGTGGTGGACGGGAAGGAATCTGGGAAGGTCCCGGGTCCCAGGAAGCTGGAACCTGAGAGAGGAGAGCCTGGTCCTAGCTGGGGCCTCAGGAGTGCGAGCCTGCAGCGCTTACCCCCAGGTAACATGGATTTTAGGGAAGTTGCAATTCAGAAAAGGCCTTTGTTCTCTTTGCGCTGGGGAACTGCCACACAATAGAACTCACAGGCCAGGAGGGGACAGGAATGGTACCTGCCACAAGACCCAGGGTCAGATGGGGCCAGTCCATGGATGTGTGCAGGCAGACAGCCCCTTGTTTGAAACCGCTGGGAGGCTGGGGTGCAGCTTCAGCTGGAGGCCCTGCTGCCCACCCCCAATGGCTCAGCAGAGGCTGTACCTACACCGCCATGTCCTCCACCAGTGCCACCCAGATGTGGCCCATGGAGCAACACCCTGGATGGTCATTAGCCCAGGGTCATCTGTTTGCAGGCCAGGCGCTGTACTCACTCTGGCCGGAGTAGTCACTGGAGGCCGGGGCTGAGGGGGGCTGCAGGGGGTTGAAGGGGGCAGCCCCTGGGCCTAGGGCAGCTATCATCTCCATCACGCTGGGCAGGAGTGCGTGTGCGGGGCTCACGGTGCGGCAGCGTTTCAGAACCGGCCCGTCAGGCTCCTCCTTGACGTGCACATCGGGCTTCACAGGCACCGGCTTCCAGCTGCACGTGGGGTCGATGGTGATCTCCTCATAGTCAGAGCTGGGTGGGGACACAGAGTCTGGTCACTACCTATCCTGCTGCCTCTCCTGGCCCTGGGGCAGTTTGTAGGCAGACCTTCCACTCAAATGCACAGTCCATGTGCCCTGTGGGATGCTGGCCGGGTCGGAAGCAGATTCCGTGTGGCCTGGAACCGAGTGTGCTCCGTGGCAGATCAGCAAGGGTGCCGCCCTGCCCGTCCCCAAGGGTTGCCCTCTGCTGGCCACGGAGGCCGGGAGGCTGCAGGAAGACTCACTTCTGAATGTAGATGAGAATGCCTAGCATGTACTGGTCCACCTCCAGGCCCTCCAGCAGGGCTGTCTTGCTGCAGAAAACAAACGGACTCGGTTCAGAGCCCTGGGCATAGGACTGCCACTCTCAGCTCCATCCTCTGCTTGGGGCCGCCCAGTGTGAGGTGACCCTGCATGAGGTCTCCACCCTGAGCTTCCAGCCGCGTCTGTGGAGTCTGTGCTATGACCCCCCACATGTGGCTTGGGTATTTCTGGACAGCCTCTGAAGAGGTGCCCTTGCCCCCAGCCCTCAAGTGAAGACTCTGAGACACTTACTTGCACACCGGGCACCTCCAGGTCCCCCGCTCACAGTTGAGCTGCAGGTAGGACTCCAGGTCAAAGCACTGTGGAGAGGGAGACTGTTTCTCACACCAGGCAGTGCCCAGCCACGCACGTTTGGGAATGCAGGGCTTATTTCCTGGCATGTTTGAGAAGCCCATGTGACAGGTTTTCACTGTGCCATCCTTCTAGTGGGTCCAGACTAGGGACAGCTACACAATCCTCGCTGGGAAAGACACCACGGGGCAAGGCCAGAGTCTGGCAGCTGTGCTCCAGACGTGGTGTCTGAAGAGCAAGCAGGGCACAGGGCCATGTGTGCACTTATGTCGCCACAAAGGCGGCGGTCAGCGGCAGGTGCACATGTCCACAGAGTTTCTGCAGAGAGAGCCTATGTGGCACTCCTGGGGTCCAGGAGGGGACTGCACCTGCACCCTGATGCTGTCAGCACCAGAGCCCCTGAACGCAGTAAGGTTACTACGCCTAGAACAGGGAAAACCAGGCTACCTGCCTACAGGCTGGGCTGTCCTGTTACCTGCTGGCCCAGCGCTGAGTCTCATCTGCTAAAGGCAGTTAGATGGTGGATGTTCCGGAAAAGCCTGCAGTAACCACCCACCTGTATATGGCGACAGTCATGGCCTCGGGCAGGGAGCTGGATCCTGCGGAAGGTGATGGGGCACTTGAGGGACACCTTGATGGCTGTCTGCTCCACCCCGTCCTCTCCGTTGGGCCCAGGGGTGCCGGGGACGGTGCCACTGCTGAAGTTCCGCTTTACTGGTGGCGACAGGGAAAGGGCTGAGGAAGGGCTGTGACCAGGACGTGACAACTCCAAGGAGCCATCTGGAGCTGACTGCTGCCCCTGCTCGGAGCCCCACCCAGGGGAGACAGCCTCATCTGACGGCCCTGCTATGGGGCAGGGGTGGGCAGCTCACTCACTCTTGGTGATGCAGTGCTCGGCGGGCAGCAGCCGCTTCTTGAGGAGGCCCTGCAGCACCGAGCGGACAGCCGGCCGGTGCACCAGCTGCAGCACGAACAGGTGGGACTGCAAGACAGGTGTGGGTCAGGGGGCTGTGTATCAGAGGGGCATGAGCCAGCCAGGGGTTCCTTGGCAGCCTTGTGCCCTCCCAGTGTGGTGCCCAGGCTGGTGCGATGGCTCTCCCAGGAGCACAGGTGGTATGTGGCTGACCCTGGCCACCGGGGCGCCACTCTAAGCTCCATGCTCCATCTCCTCCTCACAGGAGTCACTTGGGGGGCGGGCCCGAGAGCTGGCCTGCCTGCAGCACCACCCCCCTCACCCTACCCCCCACCCTGTGTCTATGCCTCAGGCTGCCCATCTGAGTGCAGCTGCCTGGGTCCCAGTACCAGTGCCTGGGTGCTGGCTGGAATCAGGTGACCCCCTAACAAGGACTCAGGGCCCGGCGGGCTTCCTCCTGCAGACATGCAGGCTCAGCTCAGTTTCTCCTACATGGTGATGCGAGCGTCCTTTGTGATGGGACCTAACTGGAAGCCGCGAGGGCAGGTTTAACTGGGTCCTCTTCTTAAAGGGCCAGAGAACAAACGAGACAGGAATCCACTGGCAGGACAAGGCCCATGGTCTTCCTCAGGGCAAGCCGCTGCCCAGGGCACTCACGCAGCAGCAGGCCGTGACGGTGATCTGGATGGTGTTGCGGCCCGGCTGGCACACGTGCTTCAGGTACAGGGGCTTGTGGGAGGTCTTGTTGTCGCCGCGCTCGATGTTGAGAGGGGTGGCATTGACGCTGACCTGCACTGAGGCCGGCCAGTTGGTGTTCATCTGCCGGTCCTCATGGTGGTAGCACTTGAACTGCAGCTCCAGGTCAGGCCTGCGCAGGGAGGACCGACACTGAGCCAGGCGGAGGTGCAAGGGGCCATGGGGGCATGGGCCCCGCTCACCTCAGCATCAGGGTCTTGTAGACCGAGTCGCGAAGCTGGAAGGCGTGGTTGCTCACGGCCAGGTTGTGCTGTAGGCGGAAGGGCTCCAGGACCACCCCGTCCCGCACTGGGAAGGTCAGCCGCAACTCGTCACAGGGGCTGCTGCCTGGGAGCAGGCCGTGGTGTCAGCAGGCCTCTTGCACCAGAGCAGCTCGCAGAGGGCCACCAGGCAGCCCGCCTCCACCCCCAGGGCAGCAGGGACGGTGACGAGGGGACTGGAGCCCCTCCTTCCCCTCCACTGGACTGGGGTCTGGATGGCATCTCTCTTGGAACCCTGAGCTGCACTGTCACCTGACGGTAACTGTCCCATGGTTCCATCCTGCCTCCGTCACCTGGCTCAGCATCCCCTAAATTATGACTTGAGAAGGTGCCCTACCCAGAAGGAAGGTGCTCCTGGTGCTTTCAGTGGGATGAGGGTGAGGGGGTGTCAATCTCCCCAGTGCTCCAGCTAGGTTTCAGGACCCCAACCACAGAGGCTCTGAGCCAGGAGTGGGCTTCAGGCCTCTTCTATCCAAGACTCACACCTACAGCAGATCTGCGGAGGCCCTGCCCCACGTTCCCATAGGACCAAGTCCCGTGGCTCCACCCAGCCACCCACCCGTCTCAGAACCAACAACACTCACCAGGGGGTGATGGGTGCAAGGAGCTCACACTGGGCTTGAGGTCAGGCAGGAAGGGAGACTTTACATCCTGGCTGGTGGACATGTAGGGGACGCTGCTGCCGGGGGTCATGGGTGGCGTGGGGCTCCCTGGCAGTGGGGAGCTGGGGTAGCCAGGGACGGAACGGGTGGGCTGTGGGGTTGAACAAACAGTCAAGGCAGAATGGTGGGGCTGCAGTGTCTCTGAGCACCCACTGGGAACGGTCAGGGCAGCCCAGGGGTGCCTGGGTGCCCTCTCTCCACGCACCCACCCCGGAATCCTCCCGCCCGTCTATAGGCCAGTCGTACCCCGCTCAGGCCGGGCTGGCTGTAGCTGATGCTGCCCCCGGTGAAGCCGGCACCTTGCCCGTTGAACTGTTCTGTGGGCTGAGGAGAGAAGACCATGTGTGTCTGGGGCTCCAGCCTGGCCCACAGTGGCCTACACGGGACCCAGGAGAGGGCTGGGGGCAGGGAGACCACCACACACACAGGCCCTGCCCTTTTATTTTCTTTTTCATGCGCTTTCGTGTTTCCCAAATAACCTACAGGGAGCACATACTGATTTCATAATCTTAAAAATTGCTACCACAGACACAGGTGACCCCCCCATCAAGAGGGTTTCTGTGGATGTCAAAGAGGGCTGTGCTGAAGGTCCTTGCAGAGCTGGACGCCCTCCCAGACCTGCCCTACACTGCTCAGGACCCCTGGGAAGCTCCCAGCTGCTTGGTCACTGAGCATACTTGGGCCCCGCTTGGCAGCCCAGGCTGCTCAAAACCTGTCTGTGTCCCACAGTGTCGGGCAGGGGCTGCCGCAGGCCCAGGAGGTGCTGGCCTACCTTGTAGTGCAGTCCCGGGGGGCCAGAGGTGGACAGGGGTAGCCTGTGACCAGGGTAGGACGAGGGGGCAGGGGGCTGCCCGGGTGTGTACTGGGTGGTGCTGGGTGAGTACTGGCCTCCTGGCAGGTACTGCTGCCCTGGATACACCTGAAAGAGGAGAGTGGTGAAGGCCCAGGGGAAGAATGGGTGAGGGGGGCCAGTTCCCGGGGAGGGACAGCAGTAGCCAGGGCCAGTTCTCTCACACACAGACGTCCGACCTCACCACGGCTCAGGATGGCACCGGTGTGAGGGCCCAGACGCTCACCTCGCTGGAGTAGGCTCTCTTGACCCCTTGTCGGGGCAGCGGCTGGGCCTGGGGAGGCCCAGGGTATCCATGCTGGGGCAGGCGCTGCCCTGCATACAGGGGTGCCATGCCAACTGCCCGGGTGGGGTTCATGCCCATGGGGCTCATGCCGGAGGGGCCCATCAGCCCTCCCAGGCTGGCAGGGTTCATGCTGCTGGGGACGCTGGGCCCCCGGGGACCTCCGTGCTGCAGGAACTGGCTGTTAAAAGACTGTCCGGCCCCCATCTGGGAAGAGAAGAGGGACCACCCAGGCTCAGTGCCTCACTCCTGCCTGTCCATCCCCTCCCAGGGCCTCATCCTCACCAGCCCCGCACTGCATGCACACCCCCAGTCCCTGAGCCTGAGCCTGAGCCTCAATGTCCCGTGCAGGGCCCTCGAGGGAGGGGCTGTGCCCTTACCGCTCCGTACTGGCTGAGCTCCTGGCTCTGCTTCTCCTGGAGGGCGGCCACAGTGGCCGTGGCGGTGGCCGTGGCCGTGGCGGCAGCAGCAGCCATGGCAGCAGCCGCCGCTGCTTGAGTGAAGTCCGTGGAGGGTCGTGTGGGATGGGAGGGGAGGCCCAGACCCCCAGGCCCCCCGGGGCCACCTGCATACCTGCAAGAGACACAGATGGCTGGGCTCAGAAGTGCTTCCCCACCTGTGGCCCGAGGGGTGGGGCGCACACAGCACCTGCGCCTGCTCTTTCCCAGACGCTCTCCAGTGAGCTGGGGGGTCAGCGGGGAGAGCACAGAGATACCACGTCCCACCAATCACTGTCACAGTTCCCAGGCGCCTGCCCCCGAGGGGTCCTGCTTACCCAGTGGTGAAGCTGGGGCCCCCGGGGTAGCCTCCACGGGCATACACTCCCTGCTGCACGTAGCCCTTGCTGGCGCCGCCCTCACCGAACGCCTGCTGTCCCAGGCACTGCGCGGAGCTCAGGGCCGAGCTGCCACCGGCCACGCCAGGCATCATGGAGCTGCCTGGGGGGCTCCCTGCAGGACCCATGGGGTTCCCCAAAACCTGCAAGGAGGCAAGAATCACCAAAGGGAACCATCCGAATAACTTGTTTCACACAGTGGCTCTAAAGTGTGGGAAGGAAAGGCCTGGCAGGTGAGGTGGTGGGAGTGGGGGGCAGCTCATAGGAGGGTCTGTGGAGACCAGGTGAAGACAGGAGGAAATCGCAGCCACGTATGCAGGGATAACTAGTCTCCAAGGACCTGGAGTCCAGGAAGCCCTGGCTCCACTGCATCTGAGACCTGAGGTGGGCTCACCTGGCTCTGTGCCGTGTTGCCAACTCCCCACACAGTCGTGACCACGGACAGCGATCCTGTGGGCTGTGTGGCGCTCTGTTGCCAAGGCACCGCCTCATAAGCAAAGGGACCATCACTGCAAGGACAGGGGTAGCAGGGGGGCCTGGGTCTGGAGGCCACAGGTGCTAAGATGTCACCTGGGAGGAACTAAAGGCTGGGAGCAGAGGGGTCCACTCAGCCACCCCACCCACATCCCTGGGGCCTGAGAGGGGAGGGTGGCAGGAGCCCCACTCACCTGTGTGGCGCGGAGGGCAGGGCAGGTTTCATGGGGTTCATGGGGTTCATTGGCTTGGGAGCAGCCTAAAGGCCAGGTCTGTGGGTGGCAGAAAGCAGCCCTCACTGGTGCTGATGTGGGACTCAGCTGCTCTGGCTGCTGGGACAGGAGGGAAAGACATCAGTGGAGATGCAGCTGGGAGACCTTGGGAGCAGGTGCAGGGTTTGGGGTCAGGGTACAGGGTGCATGGAGCAGGGTAGAGGGTTCAGGGTGCAGGGAGCAGAGCTCGGGGTCAGGGAGCAAGGTGGAGCCAGCTCCTCCAGCACCTGGCCCCAGCCTCCTCTGCTCCCACTGGAGGGCAGGGCAGGTGACACTGGGATATGAGGGCCACTCAGGGTGGTCAGGGCAGCCCACCCCACACTGACAACCCCCCAAACCCAGCCCAGAACCATCATTAACCCTTTCTGGCCAAGCCCTGCCACCTGGAGTACCTGGAATGGCTCTGGAAGCAAGCTTTCTGACCTCAAATTTATTTCCCACATGGAGGCCTGTAGAGTCGTAAGAGGCGGGGAATATCCAGAGCCCCCCAGGCCTGAGGTAGAGGCCAGGGGTCAGCAAGGTCAGCCTCCCTCCAGCCTGGCCTGGACAGCAGTGTGGGGCCATTGGCCTGTACAACTGGCAGCCCCCCCACCCCTGCCCTCCCTCCTATGCCCTGAGGGCAAGAGAATTGGGACTGATGGTACAGGGGCCAGGCAGGCACAACAACCCCAAGTTCCCAACAGGACAGTGACACACATAGCACTATGGGTGCAGGGTTGGCAGGTGCCCACAGACACGGAAAGGGACCAACGTGGACATGGCAGCAGTGGCTAGCACATGCCGGTGGGTCCCGTGTGCCCATGCAGGGCTCCCTCCCAGTGCGGGCTCCCTCCCTCCCATTCAGTATTGCAGGGCTGGCCAGTCCTCCAGGTTGCCAGTGTCCCAATACCCCCACGAGCCAGCCCTTCACCGACAGGCCTAGGGCCCTTGCTGGCTCCCCAGGGCCTCCTTCCATGCCCACCTCTTGCTGGCCTAACCAGAGGCACACGGGCTGTGGTTCTCAGGGGGTCTCCTGGGAGGCACCTTCTTGGGTTTAGGGTCGGGCCTGAAGCCCCAGTGCCTTTTAGGGACTGCAAGGCCTCACACACACATGCCACCTCGGACACGCCCCAGCACTCTAGATGCCTCCCTCTGGCCCAGCAGCAAAAAGGTGGCCCCAGCATCCACCTAACCGCAGGGCTCACATTCCTGAGTGCTGACCAACAGGCTGCCAGAGGGAGGTCAGGTTACCATCGTGTCCTCTGCAAACAGAGTCCTGGAGGTGCATGGGCTGAGTCCCAGGCCAGGATCCCAGAGCTGGTAAGGGCTACAGTGGGGTGGCTCTGCTTTGGAGCATGTGGCCCTCATTGGCGCTTCCCACCACAAAGCTCTTAGGTAAGTCGGTCGGAGTCACAGCAGAGCCATGGGCAAGAGGGAGAGGGAGCCTGGTTGAGTGTGGCTCAGCGGTTGAGCATCGATCTAGGATCCAGGAGATCGCAGTTTGATTCCTGGTCAAGGCACATGCCTGGGCTGCAGGCTCAATCCCCAGCTGGGGGTGTCCAATGACGCCTTTCTCATCATTGATGTTTCTCTCTCTCTCGCTCTCCCTTCCTCTCTCTGAAATCAATAAGGACATATTAAAAAGAAAAAAAAAAGAGGGAGAGGGAGGTGGCCACATTGGCACTGCCCCCTCCTACGAGTCAGGCTCCAGGCTTCAGGCTCCTCTCCTTCTTTCCCCAGTCCGGGTCCCACCCAGGAAGCAGAGGCAAGAAAAACAACAGGGCAGTGGTCCAGAAAGCTCAGGGACACCTGGACTCTGGGCAGAGGCAGGATGGGGAGCCAGGGTCACCCAGCCAAACGGGAAGACTGTCTCCCCAGTCCCCACAGCCTGACTCTGGCCTGTGACACTGGGGTGAGGGGAGGGAACCTGCCAACAGCCAGAGACTCTCCTCAGACCCCTGGGTGGGGCCCGGAGCATCATGCAGGGTCTTCAGGACTTAGACTATCAGGGACTAATTCAGACTGTATAAAGACACCCAGAGCAATGAGAGACCAGAGAACCTGAAACAGACCCACCCAAATATGCCCTACTGGTTTCTGACAAAGGTGCAAAAACTGCCCTGAAGGACATTTCAACAAGGGGGATCAGAGCGGCCGGACAGCCACAGGCAAGGAAAAGACCTCAACCCCAACCTCACACAGAAATCAACTCGAAATGGGTCACAGACTTAAATGCACAACACAAAAGGAAAAAACCTTTTGGAAAATACGCAGGAGAAAATCTTTGGGATAGAGCACTAAGGAAAAGCATTCTTAAATGTGACACCAAAAGCATGATCCATAAAAGGAAAAACTGAAAACTTCTGCTCTGTGAAAGAGGCGGCTCAGAGGACGGGACAGCAAGCTACAGGCTGGGAGACGTCTGCAAACCACACATCCAACAAGACTGGTATGTGGAATACACACTAAAAACAAGTCCAATTAGAAAAAGGGCAAAAGAGCCTGGTTGGTGTGGCTCGGGGCTTGAGCGTTGACCTATGAACCAGGAGGTCATAGTTTAATTCTGGGTCAGGGCACAGGCCGGGGTTGCTAGCTCGATCCCCAGTAGGGGGTGTGAGGGAGGCAGCTGATCAGCGACTCTTTCATCATTGAGGCTTCTCTCTCTCTCTCCCTTCCTCTCTCTGAAATAATAAAAACATATTAAAAATAAACTGAAAAACAAACAAAAACAATGGGCAAAAGACATGAGACATGTCACCCACGAGGATGTACAGATGGCAAATGAGCTCAGCATCACTGGCCATTGGGAAATGCAAATTAAAACCACACTGAGATGTCACCACACCCCTACCAGGCTGACCGGAGTAAAAACAGTGACACGGGATCTCTCCCACACTGCTGGTGAGTGTGGGACATGCACCCCCTCTGGAAAACAGCCGGGTGCTTTCTTATAAAACTAAGCCTGCAGCTACCACCTGACCCAGCAACTCACTCCTGATCGTTTATCTCAGAGAAACATAAACGGATGTTCACATAAAAATCTGTACGTGAATGTTTATAGCGGCTTCACTCCTAATCCCCAAAGAATGGAAACCCAGACGTCCTCCAGGGGTGAAGATTAACCAAGGGCTGAGCATCCACAGCCCGAGGCATAAAAAGGGCCAGTGGATCCAGGAGCCAGCCTGCAGGAATCTCAGGGATTCTGCTGCGTGGAAAAAGCCAGTCCCCAAAGGTTACACACTGTACGATTCCCTTTATATAACCTTCCTGAAATGACGAAATTACAGAAATGGAGAACAGCAGAGTGGTTGCCAGGGGTTAACCGTGAGGAGGAGGGCTGCAGGAAAGCAGGGACGGAAATATCTGTATCTTGAGTGTATCCGCGTAGTTTCCTGCTGGGGGAAGCCAGGTAAAGGATACACCGGCTGCGTTATTTCTTACAACTGCATATGAATCTAGAAATCTCACAAAATAAAAGCTTAGTTAAATAACCACCAGCAGCCCTCTCACAGGAGAGGCCCATGGCAATCCTTCCGCACCTCTAAGCCGGTGGGGTTGGCTAGGCCTGCTCTGCTGTCCCAGAAGCAAGAGGTGGAGGAGGCCGAGTCCCAAGGCAGGACAGACGAGGTGTCCCATTCAGAGCTGCCTACACCAGGACAACTGGGAGGGCCGAGGAGGGGGACGGGGCGGGTGCAGGGCAGCCTCCCACACCACGTGGGTCTGGGGAATTCCACCCCCCAGGCTTCTGTGCTGTGGACAGACCACAGGCCTTTCCAGTTCCCGCAGAGCTTGCTTCGCGGGGGTGGTGACTTCCTGCCTGCCCAGCTCCTGAGCTAAGTGTGCTCTCCTCTCCAGACACCTCTGCAGGTACCCGGCTGCTCCGCTGGGCTCCTCCGAGGAGAGGTGTGCTGAGTGCAGACCCTCCTCCCTCCTCCTGGCCTGGAGAGCGGAGCTGGGAAGGAGCCCGGAGTGTGCAGGGCCGGTGCCCGCCTGTATACCAATTCCAGCTGGAAGCCAGGACCCCTTGGCAGAACTGCCCTGGTACGAGGTCAGTCTAGAAGGCCACACAGCTTTCTGAGGATCAGATCACATCTTCCTCCAGAAAAAGAGCTACAGACAACTCACTACCCAGACCCCTCTTCCCCGGAACCTCACAGTAGCTGCACCCCAGTCTCCTGAGTACGAACCAAAGGCAGAGGCTAACGTTGGCCAACCCTCTACCGCCTCCCACTCATCTCCCTGCCTGGTCACCCCGGAGCAGCCCGACCTGATCCCAGCCCGGAGCCCCTCCCTGTCGCGGGGCAGGTGCTCTGCCCCCTGCGGCTCCAGGCTGCTCCCGAGGGGCTCTGAGGTCAAACAGGCTGAGAGCCAGTGGGGCAGGAGGGCAGCAAGGTGCGGGCGCTCACATGCTCAGGTGGCTGGAAGTCCTGCCCTCTCTACCTGCCAGGCCACACCACCACTAGAGTCCATCCAGAATGCCCAGGAACGGGGGTTTACCAATGGCTGGAGTGTGGGGTATTTCAAAGACCGGGCCGCAGGGTTTACTGCTTTGAGCCTCAGTTTATGTGTAAAATGGGTATGTGGCGACCAGCCTAGGACTGAGGAGAGGAAAGGACACGTGACCACATGTGTGTCCTCAGCCCTGGCTCCTGTCCTGGACACAGGTGCGAGTGGACACTCCACGGGAGGTCTGGCTGCCTTGCAATCAAGCCAGCGATGAGTCGTCCTCCCCGGCACCTGCCCCGATTCCTACGCCGGCCTGTGACCACTCCCCGGGTGTGACAAGTCCCCAGGGCCGGGACCCACTGGCTGAGGTCGATGCCCTCGCTTCTTCCAGGGAGGCCCTCCGGTCTGCAAGGCCGGAGCTGGGCGAGGGAGCCTGTGTTCACCCCACCTGGCCCACCCGGGCTTCTGTGTCGCGTCGGGCGCGCTGTGTGTCCCTGTAAAACCTAAGACAACAGCCGACTTGCAGGCATCACACGGAGGTTGGGCAACTCTCAGGACAGGGCACGGGCAGCAGGTGGGGGCAGGACCGTGGGCAGAGGCCAGAGGGGCAGCAGGTCAGCTGGGGGGGGCCCGGGGAGGGAAGGGAAGCAGGTGGGGGGC